CAGCATGCCAGGAGCGGCAGCGGCAGTGGCCTCGCGGGAGCAGTTCGCGGTTACAACAACGTCTCGGCGTCGCACGCAGCTGCTGCTGGTAGTGCCAGTGGTTCAGCCAACAAACAGGCGGCAAGGGCGATGGCGACGACGGCATCGCGGCAGCGGCAAGTAACAGAAACGGTAATGGCGGCGTCGCAGAATAATGCAGCAAGGATACGCAAGTTAGAGGAGGAGGTTATGTTTTACAGATCCTTCGCCGCTTTCCTACTCGGTGCTTACGTAGCAGCCAAGGTGATGGAAAAAGCGTAATTATGTACTACTCCATTTGCTATTTTTTCGCTCGGTTTCTTCAATTCGATTTGCTATCTTAACTGTACAAGTGTTAAGATAGGGGGTCAAGGGACCGACTTTAATTTGTATAGCTACGCTACAGTACTTGTGGTAATTAGATAATACGAAATAATATTACCCCGTCCATTGTATAAATCCGTAATACTAAGACGACAGGTAATCTAGCATAAGCATCCATAGGCTCGAACCGCTCCATCCATTTAATTTTCTTGTAGTTGATTGAAGTGGCATTGCTATGACTGCATCAAATTTGCTCCACCGTTAAACTATAAAAGATAGCTCATGAAACTATTGCATGAGAGCCCCCTCCTTCCATGGCCAACCCCACCGGCCAAGGGGGTATATCTACCAGGGGGACAGCAAGGGTTCAAGCCTTCTACTAAAGCAAGAACTATAGAAACCCCCACAAAGCTCCCACTAATTTATTTTGTCATACATAAATAAGAAGGGAAAGTTGTAGCTCTGTCTAGTTCATTCAGATCCCTTGCTATTTATTCCTGGATCCATTGGCTGGCCACACTTCATGACAGCTGCCACTCCAGCCCCGTCATCCACCTCTAGCATCAACTATTGCTTCAGCCTCGTCACCCAATGTCACTTGCTCCTTACGGCGCCATTAGGCTGTGTTTTGAGGCGAAGGTTACGAACTCCACCACCCCGCACATAGAATAGAGCGATCCATTCGTATATAATTAATTAAACATTAGCAAAAAAATAATTTGAAAATGGATTAGATTTCTTTTAAAAAATATTGTTTAGAAATTTAGAAAGCGTGCACACAGGAAAAAAGAGGAAGTATAAGTTGAAAAAGGTGAGTGCCCAATTCAGCCTTAGTCTAATTTCCATCTAGCGTTCAGCCATGGATTCCCTTTACCTATGCGAGGTGGCAAGAGTCTCCCAACTCTGGAGCTTCCAACCAGACCTGTTGACCAATCTCATATGTCCAGTAGTGGTTTTGGGTTTTGGGTTCTTTAGACCTATATCATCTCGTCTTGATTCCTAGTACCGTCTCGTAAAGAAGTCGAAGGTTCTCTATCATCCTACCTAGCCCACCATCCATCTCTCCCCCTCCTTAATCAAGTGCCACTGCAACCTATGTTAGTCATGTGCTCCGATCCAGCTCCAACATCGCCGCCTCCTACTGAGCGCGCCTCCTTTAGTCACTGCCTCTGGCCCCTATCTCACTGCTTGGCCATCTCATCCCCACACCAACAACCCATCCCTCCATCGGATCTAGAAACTGTCATGACAACCAATCCCTCCTGTCGAGCACCCGTGTGTGTTGACCCTCGCCGGTCCTCGGAGTATGCATCCTAACCACATCCACTTCTACCAGACAGATTTGTAATATTTCGACGCTTTAGAAATTAGAAATTAGGCCTTGATTATTTGACATCCTAGGCAAATCAATCCACAGCACAAGGCATAACTCTCCATATAGCTCCGCCTACAAATCACCTCTAAATAAAGTAAAAGAAAAGGAGTACATACTCTATGGACTTCACTGGAGATAACTCATATGATACGTACCTGTTATCTATATTTTTAAAAGAAGACGTCACAAGGATCAATCGAGGTCAGGGAGCGTCTTTTTTCCTTGTTAATCTGTGGATTCTTGCACACGTACCCTTCATCCTTCGAGTTTTGGCTATCTCAAGAAGCCGTAGTGTACTGCACGACTCATCTAGTCATCTTGTGTCCGATATTAGTTAGCAGAACACGAGTGCACAACATCTTAACTACCACGCATCCAAATTTAAGGAGAAAAGGTCGAGTACTCAGGTTACCATTTATAGGGATGAAAACGGTCGGAAACGATCGGAAAACAGCCTCAACCATTTCCGTAACCATATTTTTCTCGGAAATGAAATCGGAAATGGTAAATTCGGAAACGAAAACGATATCGGAAATATCGGAAAACCGAAAACGGAACAATACGGACGGAAACATGTCGGTACAGATCGGAAACAGGTAACAAATACGGATACATTAAACTATAAAAACATATATTTAACTTTACATAAGTATGTTATATGTATACATAAATTCAAGCTTATACTATATAAATTATAAATTAACTTCATTTTAGCCATGTACAAAAGTTAGAGATTTGATTGAAGAGTCAGTCAATATGTAAGCTGCGGGTCAAGTATAGACATGCTCTATAAATATCGACATATTTAGAATATGGTAATTACCATATTATAAGAAACGGTAATTTCCACAAGAATACGGTAAATACGGAAACGATCGGTATAACAGCAAAACCATTTCTGTTTTCATTTCCATATTTTTTACCATTTTCATTTTTGTTTCGGTCGATTACCATTTCCATATGGCTCGGCCGGTAGAAAGTCGAAAACGAACGCCCACCCCTAACCATTTATGAGGTATACGAATCACTGAATAGAACAGGTCTTGCGTGATCCTACGAGGTGTCCACATCCAAGCAAAAAGGTTCTAAAATAGGGTTATTACCAAAATAAGTGTTACTGAAATTTAATTTGGCATTGCCAACAGAATTTGCCGACCATTTCGTTTCGCTACCAAGATTTGGTAATGCTTGTGGTCAAGCCTTCTTGGTATATATGGCTTACGTATATATGGCTGCTTCTTCGTTAATTATTATCTCCATTAATCTTAGAATATTATGACCAGATATTGTTCAAATTTAAAATTTGGCATGTTCTTTTAGCAATAAATTTATAAATGCTTAACTGTTCGGCTGGATGAGGCTGATAAGCCATAGAAAAATAAATAAAGTAATTAAAAATAATTTGTAGGTAAATTTTTATATTTATATTATTATAGCGATTTAAAAGCTGGACTTGGAAAATAGACTACAATAATAGAATCCCAAAATCAATTCTAAGATTAATTTTTGAAAATTTAAATTTTGATCATGACGGATAAACTACGTACCCACCGGACAATGAGTGTACAGTTTGTTTCATCATACACAAATACAACCAAGAAACTTCCGTCTCATAATCTAACCATTTAAAAGTTATTTCTTTTCGAAGTTAAAACATCAAAGTCAATGTGGAGAAATGTTTGGAAACAAATGAAGTAACCCAAGTAATAGTAGCCTACGCAACCTTGGCGACTATTGAGCACTTTTCTGGTACTAGCAGAGTAAGCACGGTTATTTTGCCACAATATATATTAGATAAATGTAAAAAGCATAATGTTATTAATATTTGGGTATGGCTCGTATTGACAAACAGAATAGAATAACCCAATATTAATTAGATTGTTACGAGGCAGCAGTTTTTGTGCTTCTAAAATTTTAATTATTACATTCATACGAAAATGCGAATATCAAGCGAACTTTATGCGTCACTAACCCACGTCCTTCTGATTTTACGTGAGAGGACCAGTTTCTACCCAGTACTACTATCTTTATATTTTAATATATGGTATTATTGACTTTTTAGATATCGATAATTCGTTTTGTTTTTAAAAATATTTAATTGGTATTTATTTTGTTGTGACTTTGATATATCACCGAGACTCCGTGCACCGCTATATATATGGGGCTTCGTCGTCCGCGCGCTCCGTGTCCGCGCGTTGGTACACCGCAGTACGTCTCGTGGGCACGCAGCGGCGTGTACCACCCCTGCAGGTGCGCGGCGGCGTCCACCGGCGAGGAGATCAAGGAGCGTTCCGGCGCGCTCGTCCTCGATCGGTACCAATATATCCATGCCATCATTCAAGCTGTTTGCGTATATATCCGCTGATTAATCATTCGAGCTCACCAACGTACGTACGGCCGGTGCGTGGCTGCTGCAGATGCAGAGGCGCCGTGAGGGCGAGCGCGCCGGCGCGCCTCCCCCGTCTCCTCCCCGCTGGACGCCCGCGCCGCACCGGCCGGCGTGGTACGCGCCGCTGCGCTTCCACGGAGACGAGACGACGAGCTCGCACGCACGTACGCGCGCGGCCGGGTAAGTTGCCAAGATGAAGCCGCCTCAGCGCGCGTGCGCGCGCGCGCGCTCTCCGCACGCCCGCGCCGCGCGCCGACCCGATGGATCATGCAACTGCTAGCTGCCGGCCGGTGCGCGCTCGGGCCGGCTTGTTGAATCATGCAAGAGTGGTGGCGCCTGCTCGATCTGCTGCTGCTTGATTTGGCTCGGTTAGTTTCTGCTGTATGGATCGGGCGATCGATACAGCAGAAAACCATCTACAAATAGCTAGGAAGAAACTCCTTTTGACGCATTATCCTCTCACATGAGTTACTGATATGTTGGCCACCAGTAGTGGGTTCACATATCAGTAACTCAAAATCAGATAATAGTAAGTTAGAGGATTTGTTTCTCTTACCCTTCCTCTATTTTATTGTTGCTGCTATTTCCATCAAGTTAATTGGGGCTATTAGACCACTGCAAACTGATATGAGAATATCTTCCTCTGTATCTCGTCTCCTACTCTCGGTTCGCAGTCCGTTAGAGCTCGTAGTTTGATCTAATCGCAAGCCACAATTACTAGTACATCTTTTTTTTTCAAGTTTAGAAAAAAGAACAAGTTTAAATTGAAGTTCGTCAAGTGAATTTAAATTTCAAATTTAATTTATGAATCCTATGATAAGAATCTGAGGTTTTAATGCCTGAATCATTAAAATTCTTAGAATTAAATTGATTTTTTAATCATGAAACCCAAAATTGAAACATAAATCCCGAAGTTCAGATTTTTAAAATCTAGCTGATAGTCAAGGACCTCATCATATTTCATATATATCTACCTGATAATAATAATCTAATTAGGAGAACAAATAAATGCCCAAACATGAATAACCATAATGGAAAAACAGACAGTTAAAACAGAGGGACGACGACGACGACGACGCGAGCAACGACGTGACGCCAACCCAAACTCAGCTCGGTAATCAACCACGATCGAGTAGCTTGCATTCGCCTCGCCGGCGGCGACGTCGCCGCCGGCTAGACACCGCCGCAGCGGTAGGTGATCTTGCACGTCCTTCCGACCCTCACCACGTACGTGTGCTGCGGCTTCACCAGGAATGGCGGCAGCCGCATCAGCGCGTCGCACACGCAGTCCTTGGACACCTCCTGCAGCCACCGGCAGCAGTCGCGGTACGCCCTCAGCTCCTCGTCGTGGTGCTCGTCGTGGTCGTGCTCGTGGTCGTCGTCGTCGTCATGGTGGTCATCGTCGTCGCCGCCGCCGCCTTCGTCGTCGTCGTCACCGCGAAGACGGCCGCGCCTGCCATGGCCGCGGCGCCGTCCGCGGCCTCCGCCGCGGCCGCCACGGGCGGTGCGGTTGCCGCGGTGGCCCGCGGTGTCGTTCCCGGCTACGGCGGGTGCGATCTGCGTGCTGCCACTGCCGTTGCCCGCCACGAGCGCCGAGAGGTCGACCACGGCGGCGTGGCCACGGCGCCCGCGGTCGCGGTGGTGGCGGTGGCGGTGGCGCACACGGTGGTGATCCCCGCCGCCGTGGTCGTCGTCGTCACCACCACCACCGTGGTCGTCGTCATCGTCGTGGTCATCATCGTCGTCGTCGTCGTCGTCGTCATCATCGTCGTCGTCGTCGTCGTCGTCGTCGTCGTCGTGCTCGTCGGGGGGACTAGGCGGGAGGATGGAGCACGCCTGGCTGGCGATGGCGAACTGGCTGATGCAGAAGGCCTTGGCCTTGGACTGCGCCGCGACGGCCGCGAAGAGGGAAGGGAGGAGGAAGAGGACGGCGGCGATCGCCGCCGCTTGAAGCGCCGACGCCGCCATGGCCGGCTAGCTAGCTAAGCTATAGTGTATAGATAGCCGTGGCCTCACTCTCTGGCTAAGTGCCACTACTTATATATATATAAAGACTTAATTGTTTTCAAGTAGTTGGGTAACGTAACTTAACCAAGATAGAGGGGGGGGGGGGGGGGGTTGAGAAGAGAAGCATGGTTAAAATTAGGTGCTTCATACCAGTGGCATGCAATGGGATACAAGGCTTTGTTCAGCCATGCCCATGGCCATCCTGTTGACATGCACAGATGCACTCTTGGTGAAGGGTTAGTGACATTTTGGTTAATGGTTATGTGCAAAGAAAAAAATTGAGTGAAGTGCATGGACGGTGTTTAAACTTGCACAGATGTGTCATCTAGGTATCTAGACACTCAAAATACATTTTTGAGTCCCCGAACTTGTTATGAGTGTCATGTAGGTCTAAACGGACTCCAACCCGCTCCGTGAGATGACGTGGCATGCCACGGTGACACGTGTTAATGGGATCCACATGTCATTCGCATAAAAAAATAAAATTTAAAAAGAAAGGAGAGAGAGATGAGAAAAGGATGTTTTTAATTTTGAAAAAATAAATGAAAAAAGAGAGGAAAAAATTGTTCTTAATTTTTTCTATATATGATTGACATATAGGTTCTACTGACACATGTGCCACCATGGCATGCCACATCAGCACACGGTGTGAGTTGGAGCCCATTTAGACCTATATGACACCCTAAACAAGTTAAGGGGCCCAAAAATGCATTTTGAGAGTTCAGGGATCTAGGTGACACATCTGCACAAATTTAGAGACCGCTCGTGCACTTTATTAAAAAAAAAGGTCTTTGTCTACATGTATATTGCTTTCTATAAGATGCATGTATATAAGTATATTGATGCTGTTATCATGGCAATGTTATCATGGCAAATAGACAGTTTATACTACCTCCTCAAAAAGACAGTTTATACTACCTCCTCAAAATATAAGAAATTTTTACTATGCATTTGTGTTGATAAATTTGCTTATATTTTAAGACGGAAGTGATTTTGACTATCATTTGTATTGTTAAGATTGCTTACTCTTTCCGATTTTATAATTCTTGATATTTTGGACAATAACAGTCTCCAGAATATATATTTGACTGTATTTTTTCTATTATAATATATACAATAAATAAATATATATTTACTTTTATTATAGCACTCCCTCTATCCCAATTTGAATATCACCTAAGCAAACACACAGAGACCAAGGACAACAAAAACTTCACTATTATGAAATTAATCATCATCAGTCAAGGTGCTATGTTGTTTCGTGTCTCATAGATTGCATCACGTTTTATATATTGAATGGAGTTTCACCAATCCTATCTTCTATATAGTTGGTACCCATTAAAGGGCATTTACTCCTATAAAGTAAGACATGCAAGAAGCCACATCATCAACAATTTTAAGCCATCACATCATATTAGTATAAAGATAACAACCGTTGGATCAAGAAGCTACTTATTCTTCCAATTCAATCATTTATTATTTATCCATTCACCTCATTTTGCTCTACTTCATAGTCACACATAGCACTGTTACATATTTTATGCATAACACCATGTTTTCCTAATACAATTCAAATTATTGTTTAATATGTGTGTTTTGTTTTATTATGCATGACAAGATAGCATATAATTATTAGGTATCGTTACCTGAATCTATTTTTAGAAAAAAAAAACTTGAGTGAAGTAGAGAGATGCAAATTGTCTAACTACAACGATACCCATATATTACGCATGAAATTCATATATTATAACAATGCACAATGACGCATGGAAAAATAAAGCATGAATTATATTGTAATAACATAAGGCATATATAAATCCACATTATCATATAGTTTGTATGTATATAGAGTTGTACCTTAACTATTTAAAACTATGATTTTGTTTGATGATAAACTACAAAACCCGCGGCAAAGATGTGGGATGCCAACTAGTATAAATTAATATTGGTTGATTGCATGTAGCACATTCAATAATGCTCATTTACTATTTGCACAAATAAACGAAAAGACACTTTGTTAGAGGATGGTCATTTAGGAAGACCTTAAAAATCTTATATGATGATCAATAGGGGCGGAACTAGGCCTCGGGCAGCTCGGGCCATGGCCTGAGGCCTATGATGCAATCCCACTATGAAGTTTGTTTTTCCACGGAATAAGTCAACTTTGACTATCTACATGGAATAAGTTAACTTTGACTATCTAAAAAGTGACCCTAATCTAATCCATGACCCTAAACCGCAAAACCGGATATCTCGACCCCCGAACTTTTGAAACTGGTACAATTTGACTCCCTTAACGGTTTTGCTGACGTGGCGCCTACGTGGCGGTATTGACCGGGTCTTTTTTACACGTGACATTGACATGGCGCTTAAGTGGCATTAGAATTAAAAAAATAATTCATTTATCATTCACACAAAGGATGGCATGCGGAACCCACTGACATGTGGGGCTCACATGTCATCCTCTCTCCTCCCTCTCTCTCTCCCTTCCCTCATTCAGCAAGTCTGCCACAATCCTCTTCCTGGTGGTAACCACGATCTTACTCCCAGCTCGACCAAATCTGAGGGGAGCTAACACATCAGTCCACATATCCCTGTACGAATTCTCATTCTCATCTTTATTCCAGACATTCTCAAGAATCAGCAAGAACCGGCGCGACGAGACATTCTCAAAAAAATGATAGCCGCGACGGGGATGGTGTCAGAAGCGGCGCTCCGATCCTCGCCTTCGGTCGTGCTACCGACTAGCCAAGACACCAATTATTGCTCATGCCCCTTGTCACGCCCAAACACCTCAGCATCCTCCAGAATCGAGCCGGTGATCACCGGACCATCCGAGGTTAGGAGGGTGCTGCTCGACTCGCCGGACCCTGGCTTGGTCAGCCCCGCCGCCTGCATCAGCCGCCCGGAGCTCGCGCGGATGTCCTTCAGTTTCTGGACGACGGCCTTAAGCCTATTGACCGACTCGTCCTTGCCAACGAGCTGCATGCTTGCCGATCTTGCCAATGGATGAAGATCCTAGTAGGCTGACCTTGCCGTCGTTGCGGGAGACCGCAGAAGGGCAGCGGCGGGCAAGCGGAGACGGCGGCGAGCGGGGGAGATGCGGGCATGGCGGGGAGTGAAGACGGCGGCATCCGGCGGTGGCCGCCATGGAAAGGGCGAGGTCGGGGATCTCCCCGACAACGTCCGCCGCCGCCGCCGCCCTCCTACAGCTGGATCAACGGCCGCTGCCACCGCCGTCGCCATGGCGTGCAGGCCGGCAATTCGGATCCTTTGCATTAGAGGTACTAATGCAGAGGATGAACAGTACCGCACATTAGGGGTACTGTAGACCGTCCAATCGAGAATGGAAGGATATCCTGTAGCTATAGTAAATAGCCACTGTTTATGTCCTTAGATCGCTGTTCCCCTCACATGGACAGTGCTTCCCTGCAGTACTGTAGGCGATCCGGATCCGCAGGTCGGCCGTGTGCTCCGCCTCCGCCCTCGCGCCGCTGCCTCCTCCCATTGGGAGAGAAAGAGAAAGAAGGGAGAGAGAGAGGAGGAAAAATGAAGGACACAGGGAGGACTGCCATGTGGGCACCACATGTCGGTGGGCCCACATTTCTCTTTTTGAGTGACTAATGAATCCTATGCATATTTTTTAATTCTAATGCCACTTAAGCATCACGTCAACGCCACGTGTAAAGAAGACCCGGTCAATACCGCCACGTAAGTGCCACATCAGCAAAACCGCCCTCCAAAACCGCCTAGAGAGTTAAATTGCACCGGTTTCAATAGTTCGGGGTCGAGTTATCCGGTTTTGCGGTTTAGGGTTATGGATTAGATTCGGGTCACTTTTAAAGGGTCAAAGTGAACTTATTCCGTTTTCCACCATGTAATTGATATTGGAAAAAGTCCATTTAGACTCCCTTAATTGTTCACCGAATTTAATTCGTGACCCTTAACTGGAAAACCAGATAGGATGACTCCTCGAATTATTGGAACCAGTGCAATTTGACTCCTTCAGTGGTTTTGAAGGGCGGTTTTGCGGACGTGGCGCTGACGTGGCGATACCAACCCGGTCTTCATTCTACGTGGCGCTGACGTGGCGATACTAACCCGGTCTTCATTCCGCGTGGCGCCTACATGGCACTAGAATTAAAATATATCCGTGGAACCCATCTATCATTCACACATAAAATATATCATGGGACCCACCGACATATGGGGCCACATATCATCCTTTCTCCTTCCCTTCTTCCTCCTCGCTCCCTCCTTCTCTCTCTTTTCTCTCCCCTTTTCTCTTCCCCCTCTTCCCCCTTGGGACGCATCGGCGGCAGCGGCGGCCGGGTGGAGTGGCGATGGATCTGGGCAGCATGGCCGCGGCCCCTCTTCTGGGCGTCGATTTCCTCGCCTTGAGTGATAATTAATACTCCCACTAGCTGCTACTACTACATCGCTAGCTTAGCTAATGACGTCACCGAGCAACCAAGAACACTAAATTAACCAACTAAACACAAGCTAATTAAGCTAGTGTCGTCGTCATGTTGCCTAGCTAGCTAGCTAGCTAGCTAATTACTACTTCGGTGAGTGGATGGCGCCATGCCGCCATGGCGGCGTGGCAGCAGCACGTGTCCATGTCAGCGTCGTCGTCGCTGGTGACGAGCGTGAGCAACTCGCGCAAGGGGAGTCCCGACCGTGGTGGTGGCCTTCCAGAGGGTGTCGGCGACGGCGATGTCGGCGGCGGAGTGCACCGGGGCGATGGCGGCGCCGTCGTTGCTGGAAGGGAGATTCGGGCTGGGCGGGAGCTCGCGGCGGCGGTCGAGCCTGAACGCGTTTGACATCATCTCCTTTTCTCCGGCAACTCCAACGCCGGCGGCGGAGGTGGAGCTTTACCGCCGCGGCAGCCGCACCCGACACCCGAACTTCCCACCGCCGCCGTCTCCTCGCTACAGGATACGCGACAGCAGCGACCGCGGCGACTGGCAGCTCTCGATGCCGCCGCAGCGCTGCTCCGCCCTACCTTCATGCCGGCCTTCTCCACCCACCGCCGCCCACGGCTTCGC